GCTACATATAACAGGAGACATCCAGTCCTTAATTTTCCTAAAGGTGGGTCCTTGGCAGAAGATAAAGCCTGAGCAAATGCAGAGCAGAACAAGCCAGAAACCTAGTATTGTCCTTGGTGGATTTACTTTGAAACACTGTGCAATAAACATTTTGCAAGTAATTCAGTACCTTGAGTTCATTTTCACTGATATCTGCACACCACCTGCAATAATGTTGTATTTTGGCAAAATGATCAGTCTCTTAGGTCCTAGATTTACAAAATGCCAGAGAATATTCTTTGAATTCAAATGCAGAAAAACACAGAAAATGAAAAAAAAAAAAACCCAGAGCATTTAAAGATCTTGGACAACCTCGACCTTTTTGTTTATATGTTTAGTTTAAGTTATTAATGAGAGGTATGTGTTCACTTCAACGTGGAATGCTTCTTTCCTTTCCTGTTCTTTTTCTCTGTCTGTAAAGTTTGAAATAAATCAGTAAAGTTTGAAATAAAAGTAATTGTTACAGGTTCTGAGGCAGAGAGACAATTAGGTAGCATTTGGCATTTTCTGTAGGTCAGATGAGCGTATGGATTCTTGGAGGTAAAAAGTTCAAGTCATGAAGAAGAACAGAGACAACCGATGGCTAGAATGACTACAGTACAATAAAACAGCCCTAAAGCCCAGCCGAGTAAGCCCCCATCCATAAATCTTATTAATCACGGCTACTTCAAAATACAATGAGCAAGAGAGAAAATTATGCCCTATTTCAGACTTGCCCGGTTTCTTTATCAGTTAGAAGAAAGAGAAAAAAAAGAAATTATTAAGATCATGTAAGGTAGATAACCAAATCAAGGAACAATGCAACTATTGTCCTATGTAGGATATAAACTATGCATAATATTTTGAAGAGGCATAAATAACCTATATTAATATGTCAAAATTGTCCATTTATAGATGTGCAGAATTTCTATTGATTGTGTGAAATAATCTCATTTTTGGGGAGATGTAGCTGTATGTCATTTATAGCTGTGATTTATATTGCTTGAACTATTAAGGTAAAAATAGTGGTTGTTCTAAAAGTATCTCCTGTCTGAATGCATTGTCCAGAGTTTTCATTCTGGAACACTTGCTGTTTCAGTTGTGAATCATTCCGGGAAGAATTACTTTCCGGGTTTCTATAAACAAATATTGGGAAAGAAAATTAAATAAAGCAAACTAAGATGATCCAATTGTGAGCGAGTCACAGCCTCGTAAAGCATTGTAATTTGGATATTTTATCTTAATGTCTGAGAGGAAGCTGCTCTTAAACCACTGGCCTTAAGCAAAGCAACACATATTTAACAATGCAAATGAAGAGAACCGAACTGGCCCATTGCTTGATAAAAGTTAATTATTTTAATGAATATTGTTTGGCAACTACAAAACAACATAATTTTATAATCCTTCAAATTTATAGATGTAATGAAATGATTTTTTAATGATTTTAAATTATATTTTTATATGTTTTTAGTTTTAAAGCAACATAAAAGTTTTATAAAACTACGAAACTATGTGCATCATAACGAAGGTAAAAATAATCCTACTTCACAAGGCTTACAGATCCTAAGATTCTGGGTTGATAAGATCTTTACCGACCTGATTGCTCTCATTCAGTGATGACAGACATGGACTTTGTTAAGTAGATATGGATAAATATGAAAGTGAGGTTTTTCTGTTTATTTGCATGGATCATTTTTATGTTTTCAAGAAATATATATCTCCAATATTTATCATGTCAGCAAGTATTTTTTGGAAAAAGGAATTTTGTTAGCCTTATGATTCCTTACTTTATAAAGGTAGCACAATTAGTCATTCAGACTTTGTTGAATATTTAGGATGTCTCCTTTATTCCCATATTGAAAGCGACCTTATGTTGTTTATTTTTCTTCAAACAACAAAAACAAAAAGCAGACCCATGATAATTTTCTTAAACTGTTCATTTTATGGTATCTTACACAAATTTTCTTAAGTTACCAAAATTATAAGAGAAACAAACTTTCACAGTTTTAAATTGCATTTGCCAACACTTGAAAGACTATTATAAATAAATTCACATATTGAATTTTTATTTTATATAATTATCTACTTATATTGTTTTCTTAGTGAAATTAAGACCTTTTTTATAATCACTCAGATATTACTATTGTTTTGCTTTTTAAATTTTTTGGGAGCTTAGAAGGTTTGCTTGCCTGTTTCTGCCTATGCATATTTAAAATGTATGGAATTAAAGGTATTTCTTTAAAAAAATAATTTGTGCTCTTGGACAAGTGTTTACAAAAGCTTCCCTTCAAATCATGGAAATAGCCAACTCATTTATTTAAATTATTTTGATTTGTTTTGCTTTGTTTTTAATATTAGCTCATATAAACTAGGTGCAATACAATTGGACATATGGTAAGAGAGAAGAAATTTTATTTTATTAGTAAAATGTTAGTCCACTACTACTTAGGAAATAACGTATCTTTTTTAAATTTTATTCATAGTTCTATTTTTGGCATATATTAAAATCTATACATTCATATCTACATTTGGACTTTTTGTTTTATTAAAGTGTTTTTCTTTCTATTTGGGAGCACAACGTTGAAATCATTTCAGCTCTTTAAAATGTACATTAATGTTTAGTAGAGCAAGTCCTCTCATTATTATTATTTCTAAAACTCTTGAGAAATTGTCTTTCATTAATATCTTTAAGGCCATTTTGTCATACTCTTGCTAATCAGGAAAAATAACTAATAGATGCTAGGCTTAATGCTTTAGTGATGAAATAATTTGTACAGCAAACCCCTCTGACACACGTTTACCTATGCAACAAGCCTGCACGTCCTGCACATGCACCCCCAAAGTTAAAAATTAAAAGAAATCCCCCAAATAATATTGTATTATATACATTTATGTTTCACTTAGGAATACATTTCGGTTTTTAGATATTTTATGTTTTTTAATACAACACAATTTTATAAAACCTCTCCATACATACCGTTAATTTTTAAATAATACGTATATTTATGGTAAGTGTGAGTGAAAGCTTTGTATTTGTATGTTTCGTAGTTACTATTGCTAGTTTTTAAAAATCTTGAATCTATTTCAATTAGTGTTAATATATATTAATTTTATTCCCTTGGCTTATTTATATAATAAATAATATTTGAAAGATAATTTGTAATAAAATGTTGAAATGTTTCCATGGTCTATTATATCAGCTAAAAAAAAAAAAAACTACAATGAAAACAGTGACCCATGTGTCCCAAGAACTCTTCTAAGTGCCAAAAACAGCTCCAAAATACCACCTCTGCAATTATAAAGTTGATAGTCTTACTTTATACCACATTATTTCTATGTTGATAGTACCAATTTATTTTTTATCATTTAATATATTGTTATATATTACTTTTCAAAGGATGAGCTTTAATATTTATAATTTCTGTTTTTTTCTATTACCAATATTGTTATCATTAACATATGCATTTTTTCTTTCTTATTTTCATGTTATTGGGGCTACTTTTAGTCTAACGAATTGGCTTGAGTGCCGGGTTTATTTTAACTCTGTTAAATTGCTTTGGTCATAATTAGACTAAGGTTTATTGAGGTGGCGTCTAGAGGGTGTGATATTTTATGCTTGGTATCTTTTTTTTTCATAGCCAGACCCTATCTGTAAAAATAGATAGATATGGACACAGATGACGTTATAGAATAGATAAAGGAGAACTCTGAGAGATGAGAAACTTCATCATCAACGAAAGAATAAACAAGGGAAGAAAGTAGCCTTATTTTGTTTTGAGGTCTTTCTTTGAACATTACAAAGAATTTTTCTCCTTCCACTGCCTCCTTTTATTAAATTTGGGGCCCCTTAGTTCCAGGTCAAGTTGTTAAAAGGGGCAGGTTATGAGATGTTGAGTGCGGAGCCCACATGCCTGTCCCCCTGAGGTCCCCGCACTGTCATCGAGCAGGAGCAGGCAGGCGTCTGTCGCACTGAAAACCTACGTCTACTCTTTGGTTTCAGAATCCTGGTAGAGGAGAGCATTACTTTAAGAAGCAGACATGTGAGCCTCCAGATGCAGCCAAGCGTGAAATCAGGCTGGGTGGATAACCTTGAACAACGACAAAAGAATAATCTTCCAAGCTGTGCTAGGAATTTGCACTAGTGAATTATTCCAAGTTTGAAGGTGGCAAGTATGTTTGCCTAAAAGTTATGGGGAAAAAACACATAAAAACTAAAGAAATCCAGATCTTTCCAGTTGTAGACAAATGCTCTATTTCTGGATGACAGGGTTGATTTATTTAAACACATTTCAGTGAATTGAAGGTTGGAGTTGAGAGCGTATCGTGACACACTCCGGTCTTGCAGAATTAGGGGGAGGAAATTGCTGACCCCAGGACCTAAAGCACCTTTTTTCACACAAGTGGTAGGCCTTTGGTACCTTTGTTATGTGCACATTGCCTGCCAGCTCCTTCACCCTCCTCTGAATGAGGAGACCCTGCTGCCTTGAGTGATGGCCTGCATTAATAGGGGTGTAAGGTTTTTATTCATCTGTGGAGGCAACCCCACCTAGTGAAGCTAAAACTGAAATCTGATGAGAGAGGTGTTGTGTTGGTCTCGCCATTACTATGATTATGTGTTCATATCACATGTTAAATTTTATGTATTTCCTTTTGCAGTTATCAGATATACTTTAAGTCAATGCTTACCTCTGACGAATTAAGAGTTTATTGCAATTGTCAAATTATTTTACAAAAATTGGAGATCTTTAGAGAGAAACTCATCTTACTACCAGATGAGTTTGATGGGGTGGGGGGAGCGTTTCTTTAGATGCAAAGTTAGAATGTATTCTTGAATGTTTACATTCTCATCTATAATATAACATAATATAAACCAATAGTCTATCAAAGAAAACGTGAATTCATTTAAGTGTTTTTATTTTGATATTACCATCAATTATTGCATAATTTATAAGTATGTGTGTGTATGTATCTCTCGGTGTGAGTGTGTGTCGGGGGGGCATATTAATAATGATACTTCTTAACTATTTTAGATGTTTGTGCATTAATTTGACTTAGCAAATTTTGAAAACCATATTCATAGTTTTTATTTAAATCTAGACACTGAAAATCTTCTTTATTAATTTGCTCATGTCTCAATTTTCCACGCTCATTGATTATATCCAAAACCAGCAGCTTCTAGACGTAAATTGCTTTTTACGAAGTACTCGCTAAACATCTATGCTCTATTTTAAGTACATGTGTCTCTGAAAAATGAAATAAAAATCAATTTCTCTGAAAATATAAAATTTGTAATCACAGATCACTCATTCCTCTCTAATTAATCTTTTGCATCACTATTATTAATGATGTTTTAGAAGGTTTACACACATTTGTAACGTTAGTATCTTTTGATATTAACAAATGAATGGAACATTTTCCACAATCAAGCGTTGGATATTTTTTACATTCATTAAATATATGATTGAAATTTATTTAATAAGCATTCCTGAATAACTAAAATAATTTAAATATTACTACTTTTAGAAAGGTAGAAGGCGTGCTGCAGAGGGCACTGGGTCCTGAGTCTAGAGTATTGGACACACATAGAAGTTATTCCACTAATTGGTTATGTTACCTTGCAAAATTCCTGATAGTGCTAAGCCAGATAACGGTCAGTTTCCATATGCATAGGCTTGGGTGTTTACAAGGTTCTACTTAAAATTCATTTCAAAAATTGTATTGCTGTAATAAATGACAGTTATTATTGCTAATTCTTCTATTATTATTAATATTGTCAGCACATTAATGTTAAAACAGTTGAGACGTATACCTAGCAGGCAAAATGTAAGTTTAACTATGTTGGATCAGAAAAGGATACCTTCACGCAAACATTTTTTTTAAACCTGGTATGGTCTGGTGCTAAGTGTGAGACAAGAGATTTCAATAAAGAGTTTCTTTCACTCTTTTCTTGAGGATTCTATAAACAAGCTGCAGAGAGATGTATTTACCCTAGATTCTAAAACGCACCTAAGCAAGGTTAGGCAAGATAACTGAAGAGCAGTCAAAATTTATGCATATGCAAAGAAGAAATGCAAAGTCAAGTGATAGTTTTTTTTATTAGAGTTTAAACAGATCATTTGGAAGAGATTAATGGTTCATCATCACTGTGTCTCATTTGGCTCATTTTCTGACCAAATTTTTACCTTTAGAAAATGAAATGATATTTCCAAGTAAATTTTATCTGAAGAATATTAACAAAGGACACAGTCAGTAATGAAGACAGACAAGGCAATTCATAAAGGCAGATTCACCTCATACCCTCTGTCTGATGCTAGGTGCAGAAAATGGCATTCTTCAATTTCTCAGAATGAGAAAATCATCCTTTTATTAATTTGCATCTCTGCTTTAATATTTTTTGTTTTGTTTTGTTTTTTAATTCAGTAAACACAAAACTTGAAATTCTTGTTAACAGTAGTGGCTTAGGATGGAAATTCTTCACACTGTTCACATTTTAGTAAAATGTATACAGACATCCCCCCAAATGCCTTTGCTGGGATATGTTTAGGTAGTTTCTAGTCTCCCTACTCACCTTAAAAATGAATATTTGTAGTAGCACCTCAAATAAATTTGTTTCCACTCCAGAGCTATGGCCTTGGATTTTTCTCCTTTGTGTGTTCCTTGCCCCTCCGTTAGCCGTCCTTGAGAGTGTGACCTTCTATGCTTTTCACCCCAGGTCTGTGCCTGTGACCTTGATCCAGATCACCAGGTACAGTAGAGAAACGAGCCGCTAATCATTCTAACTTCAACCCTTACCCACCCGTGCTCTTTCTTCAGAGTCTCCAATCTCTGCCTCAAAGTGATGCCCTATTGTAAGTTTTACTTAGAGAATCGCTAACCCCACTAAGCCTATTAAACATGGATAGAAGTTTCTGCATGCAATATTCTATTGAAATAATATGAAAAATTATGTTTTATTTCTCATTTAGTCAAAGTAAAGTTGTTTCCAGGAAAATGGCTTATTCTCCATCTGATTCCACCATGGTTATCACGAGAAACATGGCAGCACCCTTGTTCCAGAGACAGGAGGACTCCTGTAAGGAAGAGGCAGAAGGGAAGGCTGGAGGTGCTGGTCAGAAGCCACAGGAGGTGGTGACAGGAAAAGAGTCCGTGACAAGTGGAGCCACATGGGATAAGTGACAGTGGTGATTGGGACACCAGCTAAATCTGGTTAGGAGGTTCTGATGAGAGTCTGTTACCCTTCAGCGACCTTCTAGGAAGACCATTTCTGATCTTCAACCTGAGCATAGCCCTGAAATCGTGAGTCACTGACTCAATCCATAAGAGCTGTAGGGCCACTCTCTGCTAAAGGTGTTCCTCCCCTCTCAGAATCAGGAAGCACAGGAGAGAAGGCAGGGAGCTACCTCTGTTTCTCTTGCTAGAATGGGACATGCTTTGGCCTCCTCATATGGAGAGAGAGAGCATCCCACTTGGAATGTACAGGGATTTTTCCATGGAAACAATATTGACACAGGGAAAGGGGGTCCATACTCCAAGAGTTTGGAAAGCTACTCTATGTTCAATATGCAGGTCGGCTTTTATGAATTTGCCTCAGAAGCTAACCACATTTCCAACACTCTTTCTCTAGTAAAGGTCAAGTTTAGGGTAATGAGTTAATAAGCCAGCTACTGGAACATAGTGTATTTTTATGGAGCTGGAGTGAATCTCTCCATTGTGGGTGTGTACAGGGAAGTCATGAGCCCCACCAACAGCATTCCTCAGCCAAACCTCAGAAGCCAGAATTCCAGCAGCGCTTCAGGATTATGATGTTGACCTTCAGGGAAAAAAAAAAAAAAACAAAACTCATTTTAAACTAAATACTGTTTCTTTTCACATACAAAACCTAGCTGGTGAGTTTGATGCTTCATTACTTGAGTCTGGCTAAGTGGTTAAGCGCATGTAAAGTTCATTTCCAGCCCACAGTTCTTTAAGCATTTATTTCCTTGTCAATGTTACTATGTCAGCCAGCATGTGTGGGTGGTAAGGAAGGCCCTGGGAATACTAACCATTTACCGATTAAATAAAAAGCTGCAAAAATAATGTAAATGAGGAAAGGAACCATCAGCTAATCCCAACATTCTAGGTAAAAAAAAAAAAAAAAAAAATCAAAGGTTTGTAAGTAAAAACATGCCAGCATTGCATATATTTTTGACCAGGTTTCTCACAACCCTAAGATAAACACTGCCCACAGCGAGAGTTAATGGTACTGAATGCCTTATCTTTTAAGGTGCTTTAATCTGGTCTGTTGTCCTCAGTGAAAGGAATAAAAAGGCCAGGTTATCAAGAGAAGAAACACAGGCCCTTATGTCTAGATGCCTTTTACATGAATAGTTGCAAGTGGCATCTTGAGTTCTTTGACTCTGAGGAGTGGATTGTTTGTTGTCTTTGGCATACAGAAACGGGTAAACCAGACTCCAAACAGTGATTTTTAAAAGCCGGAGCAATTGATGTGTCCACTAAAGCGGAATGCGGATGTTTTTGCAAGTATGCTCCTCCACTCCCTCCTGATGTATCCCCCACAGCCTTGGTGATATTGTGACCTGTTTTCTAGTAAGCATAACTTTAAAAGCAGACTATGATTTATAAAATCACCTCTGCCAGGTGAAGGTTTAAGATGGATGAAATAGGATCCTTTGATCTTAATGAAATCCTTAATGGTAAAGCCAACTCAATTACGTGTTTCTGTTAGAGTGTTTTTCTGCATTCATTCATATTTTCTGAAAAAAGCAGAACAATATGGGGAGTATATTAATCATGTTACTACTCTGGCTGGAATAATTTATTAAACCGTATCATAGTTTCCTGGAAGATTTACTAAGCCTCTTCAATTACTTAACTCTTGTAGAATAATTTACATACCGGCAGAGCAGATAAAAAAAAAACACACATGAATGAATTCATTAACTAAGACTATTTCAGAAGCACCTGGATGAAGATAATATTTTCATCTCCTCAATCATGAAATACTGTTTTCTGTGCATCAACTTGTTTTTCAAAAATTACCTCTATAAATTATTGTTTCACTAAATCTTTTGCATCATCAATACTGTTGATCAATGGCAAAGATTTATTAATTAACAAATTAATTTTAAGTAAGTAAATATTTTAACATCAATGTGCTTATTTGTGTCATTAATGTTTAATTTCAATTTGCTGATAAACCAGTCAAAATTGTATGTTTTCTTTTTATTAGTGGCTGTAATTTCCTTTAAGTATTTTGCCTCTTTTTCTAAATATTGTAAGCACAACTTGTATATACTGCTCACAGAGATACACATAGGTCAATCTCTCAGAAGTGCATTTGAACAAAGGGCTTAAAAACTGAAATAATGAAATTGCAGGCTTTCCTATTGATATAAAAGATATGTTGTTTTTGTTTAAACGTAATAGCCAAATGATTATGAAATTTATGAAATGTACCATTAAAAGTGCTACCTAGAAAAAAAGTTTATAAACTATGATGCATGCTCAGGAATAATTCTACACAGCGTATATATTGGTCATAGTAGCTTTTGGAAACTTTGCAATGTATTGAATGTATTCCAAGTGAGTTGCCTTGTTCTTTTTTTTCTTCCCTACATGGCTTTCAGCTGATAGGCCACCAATTTGTGCCTATCCCAGTTGCCAAATATAGCACAACTTGATCTCCTTCTATTCTTAGAAACAATGAAGTCCCCCTTTTTTTGCCTTGCAAGACGATAAATGTAATTGCAATCATTCCTCCAGTACTGCTAGCAGATACTGAAAGATACCATTGATTTCAAGATATATCCTGATTTCAGGGTTGGTAAGTTTGGAGAAAATTGTTTCCTAGAATAGATAAAATATAGTATATGGTGGCAGATTCCATTCCTAACACTGTCTAATTTGTCTACTCAAAAGAATGAACTGCCCAGCATTCCCATCCACAAATGGCTATCAATCCTGAAACTATAATGGTGTTTGTGAGTCATTTACCAAGAGATGGGGAATGTGGAGACCTGGGTATGAAATAGAATCCATGTCTTTGTTACTGATTTTCTCTATTAAAATGTTCAATAATTAGGCCAGACGTGGTGGCTCATGCCTGTAATCCCAATATTTCAGCAGGCCAAAGCAGGAGGGTCATGTGAGGCCAGGAGTTTAAAACAGGCTTGGGCAACATAGTGAGACCCCTTCTCCATAAAAAAAGTACAATAAAAAATTAGCTAGGTGTAGTGGTGTGAGCCTGTAGTCCCAGCTGCTTGGGACTAAAAGGAGGAAGGATCACTTGAGACCAGGAATTCACTGTAGCCCAGACAACAGAGCAAGACCCTGTCTCAAAAAAAAACAAAAAAACATTAAAATACAGTAATTAGTTATTAATATATTTCATTTAGTTTCATTTTTAGTAATAAATTATACATTTATAAATAAGCAAATATATGTTCTCAGTTACAAACCAGTTGATAAAGAAAATAAGCATATGTGTAATATAAAATCTGAATCATCCAAAATAGTACATTAAAATTGCTTAATTTCAGATGATTATTGCCACTTCATAGGCTTAAGTTCAAAATGTAATTTTTTTAGAACAGTTTGCAGTTTCTCCTTGATCTTTTACTTTTTTTTTACAGATAGAGTTTTGCTCTTGTTACCTAGGCTAGAGTGCAATGATATGATCTCACTGCAACCTCCGCCTCCTGAGTTCAAGTGATTCTCCTGTCTCAGCCTCCTGAGTAGCTAGGATTACAGTCGCAGGCTACCATGCTCAGCTAATTTTTGTGTATTTAGTAGAGATGGGGTTTCATCATGTTGGCCAGGCTGGCCTCAAACTCCTGACGTCGGGTAATCTGCCCGCCTTGGCCTCCTAAAGTGCTGGGATTATAGGCGTGAGCCACCAAACACACCTGGCCTACAATTTTGAACATGCTGTTAGCAAGGGACAAATGGCCCAACAACTGCACTGAAAAATGGAATGTACGGGCATGGCTATCTAAGGGTAGCTTTTCTTTTTACCTTACATTATTCATTCATAACTATTAAAATATGACTATATTTTATAAATTACTAAACATAGGCATTTATGGAAGCAGCCATATACACCAAGACACTACATGAACAAATAGATAGCCTTTTATACTTTTGCTGATAATATGCAACGCCCCTAGATATTTATACCTACTCACCTAATAATTTTTTTAAAAAAGAAAATATGGTTTCTCTCACTATGCTTTTCTGTTAAAAATTTTATCTCAAATGGTGTCTCTAAAATTTTGAATTCTTTGTTTAAAATTCAATGCCAATTTCTTCAAAAGTGTGGCTACCCGACATAAACAGCCTGTGTGCAGATTTCATCTGAAGTGCTGAAAAATAAAAAGTCTATGGGCTTTGGGGCTTGGCAGCACTGGGTCCTCATCCCAGCAATGACCCTAGCTCACATATGTTTTCTATTCTGTAAAATAAAGACAATAAAACTGGAGTATTGTGCTGTTTCTCTGAGCTGATATGCTACACAGATATCATGGTGCATGGCTTTAAGACATGATCAAGTATGTTATGCCCTCTCAACTACAGTTATATACCATAAAGAGAAAAACATCTTAAAACTGTGTACAGACATGTAACTTGCTGTAACATTTATGCAAATTAAAACCTGAATAGAAATGCCTGAAGCCAAAAGACATTTATAAACTTAAAAGGAGAATAAGAGGAAAAAAAGTTGAGAAAAAGGAGTAGGAAGAAAAGACTGACTATAAAGAAAGGGGGAAGGGAAGGAAGGAGGAAGGGTGTAAGAAAGGAACCAGCCTTTTTCCATAACTTGTAGTTATTGATGAAGTATTAATCACTGTTTTGGGGTATTATTTCATTTTTGCTTATTGATTTGCCCTTTCAAATATAATTGTCAATACTAAATTCATTCATCTATGAAGTGCTATTGTTGTTTTATGACATTAAAAGTATAGAATGTCTATTATGTCTCATGTACTGAGCTATTCATGGATAATGTCTCTTTCTATCATGAAGCAAACTCAATGAGTTAGGCTTAATTATTTTTATTTTGCAGATGAGATGTCTGAGGCTGAAATTGACTGACCTAACTAGAGAACTCACACTTGTTTATTAATATGGATAGAGATCCACCTAGTGAACCATATTTCCTTTCAAAACTAGGTAACATATAGAAGGTAATTTTATGCCAAAACATAATATGAAAACAAAAAGCAAAAGCATCATAAATGTTAATAGGCATGTTTAATGAACATTTTGGAGTAAGTAAATGTACTGATAGGCATGAAGGATGAGCAACTTTGGCAAAGGGGAATCTGAATTCCCTGGATGTCCATATGCTAGCTGCAAGAAACCTCAGCCAATCCCTTCATATCTTCAACTTAAAATTTTCTTATATATAAATTAGAATTAATATCAAATCGTAAGTTTGTTAGGGAAGAAAGTAAGATAATGTGTATAGTGTGTAGTCAAATTGCAGTTATAATTGTTTTGGTTATGACGTCTAAAATGATAACTATTATTTATAACTGTTATAATTAGGTAACAATTCAAAATGTTTAGAATAACATTGTTAATCCAAAAAAAAATTGTTATAGAACCATACTCTAGGTTCCAACTGTGAAAAACTCTGCATAATGAGAAAACGGTAAATGTAATGTTCTGTAAGTGGGATATTGCTAACGAATAATTTTTTAAATAAATACTACTTGTTTAATAAAATATACACAAATATAATTTCTTAAAAGAGATTACAGAATTATTTGTCACAAATAGTTAATAGGTGACTCATGAACAAGGTGTTGAAATTTA